GAGAAAGCCAAGTAATATCATAAAGAAATATAGTTCATATGAAACAATAGAGTTCATTAATATGTTTGTTATATGTGAAAAACTAAGATTATACCGTTTGACCATCAAAATAAGTTCAAATCCATTAATCTAAGGATTAATACAGTTACAAGAATATGATCAACATATATTTGAATATTTTGAATATAGATTTGGATATTTCACTACATAATCATATCTACAATCATATCCTACCGGTTATAGATTTTAGCAGTCACACATGTATATGTTAGAATACAAATATGGATATACCCGTTAATACAGATATTTTTTGGCATCCCTAGCTATAACCCACAATTTTTTATCAATTTTCGTTCATTTTTAACAAATGTAAATTAATTCTATACACATCAAATTCTGCAATTTTTACCCACTATTTTTGTCAATGATTATTCTGTCAAACGTATGTAAATTAATTATGTGTACATTAAAATGTACAATTTCCATAGGATGTAATCTATAATTTCTATAAATTTTGATTCGGATCGAACAAATGTAAATTTATTGTGTATAATAAAATTCATAATTTGCATGGATTATAATCCACGATTTTTGTTAATTTTAGCTCATTTTAAACGAAATGCAAATTAATTATGCGATATCAAAATTCGTGATTTTCATCTAACCCACAGTTTTTTTTTCAATTTCGGTTCATTTGGAACAACTGTAAACTAATTGTGTGTACATCATAATCCTATTTACATAACGAAAGTGATAATCTAGTTCAAAGAAGTTTACTGAAATTAAGCAAAATTCAGTTTATTTATTGCACACGTATAAAATACAAATAGAACATAGCATCAAAAAAACATGAAAGGAACTGGACAAAGAGGCAAGAAGAATTACAGTGATTTTGCCGTCTTCACAAGGAAATTTCCGTGATATGAAAGAATAATACAGCTTTTTACCGTATTTCTATCTCGCCACCATAAAGAGCAATTTCTCAAGCCATTTTGATTATATGCTCGCACTTGCAGAAAACCCAACTCAAAGAATAAGTAGCTTCTTCCCACAAAAACCATATAGGATCTCTCAATCATTTCAAGGGCTGAAGAAGGTCTTCGTATTAGTGAAAGTAAGCCAATAGAATTGCAGATATAGTGAATCAGAAGACCTTCTGTCATAATGACCTGCAGACGACATCTTCCAAAGTTCAAGCAAAGATGGCATTCACAAATGCCTCTGCATCAAATGGTTGGAGATCATCAACTCCTTCCCCAACACCAATAAATTTTACCGGAATTCCCAGTTCATCAACTACACTGACCTGTAAATTATATAATTTATGGTTAATATTTATCTTGCCATGGAACTTGTATGATCAGTAGTTTACTTAGAAAGCTTTGTACATACCACACAGCCCCCTCGTGCTGAACCATCAAGTTTTGTTAAGATTAGTCCTGTGATTCCAACAACCTGTTTGGATTGGAAACAGTGGTTGTAACTAAAAACTTACGTTAAGGTTGGTCCTTATTGAAAACAGTGATTGACAGCATGATTTGTATAGCTCATATGATAAAGTGCCTAGAAAAACTCAGAAAATCACAAGCAAAGGTGCAGTATTCTTAGATTATTTCTTAGATTATCTCTTAAATATAGTAGGCACTATAAGAATACAAGCCAATGAGCAAGGTGACAGTATTTGATGTTATTTCAATAAGAAGGTTACTTCATTAAATTCTCTCGCTTGTGGCAGCATGTTCAACCCAGTTGTCCCATCCAGAACAAGCAAAATTTCCTGCATTAGAATTTGTTGTAGTCATAAGAAGTATCTGAGAACAAAACTACTCAAATGGAAAACTCTACGTCAGTTTTATAGACTGCAAAACATTCAGGTCTATCCATCTAACTCAAAATACGGTGAAGAGCGGATCAGCTAAAGCTAATCTTGAGTATGAGTTCACCACAATTTCAGAATTATGATGTAGTGGAAGGGGCCTTTAACAAGCAAGTAAAGGTCAAATCCATACATTAGGAGCACCAGCAACAATTTTAGCAACAGCTTTCTTGCAGGAAACCAACTCTTCCATTAGACTGTAATTTGTGTGCAAACCTGAGACAAACATTAGTTGGTTCAGAATGAATAAGACAACATACATATCATATTAATTAAATTGACAGAGAAATAAATGGTTACACACGTCCAGAAGTATCACATAGAACTACATCATATCCTTGCTCCTTTCCCCTTTTTACAGCCTGTGATAGAACTATTCAGAAACGAGTTTCAGATTTTATGTGAATGCAGATATAAGGGCTGATTACACTAAAGGAAGCAGTTTAAGCTACAAATATGAGGTTCAAGCACAAGTGATGCAAATACCTGATGGGGCTTTGACTTTCTCGCTCTCAGCCACAACTATCTCTGACCCTGTTCTCTCAGCCCACACTTCTAACTGATCACTGGCTGCTGCTATCACCAGCCGCCATAAGTATCTGTGACAAATTAAACAAGTAATGTTCACAATGTTTTACTACAAACATGCAAAGCCTGGCAAAAAATAAGCTAAAATAACTTCTGTACAGATCAAATAACAAGAAACATGCAGCATTAATTATCATCATTTACGATTCACATTAGGCTTTTTCTGGTGTGACCTTAGTAGGAGCTGAGATGTGCCATTCTGTATAATAGAGCCATCATTCCCCACCCATCTGCAATGTAATATAAACTAGTATATGCTGTTAACTAATTCAGAAATGAATGCTGAACATGTTTTCTTCAGAGGGTTGGTTTGCCAGGAACACTTCAAGGTCATCTTCTCATGCAATCTTCTTTGTCACGTTTTTCTAGTCATATCACATATTTGAACCTCAACCATTCATCAAAGAAGGGCTCATATTTAAGATTGCAAACTTATACAAGGTAGAAAAGGGTGTGTTTTTTCCTGACCTTGGATAAAATATCATATCTTTGTTTGCTTAGATGCCTAATTATTCTTAAACCTAATTTCAAGATATACCAGGGATCAGAAGAAAATGAAATACTAACCTTCACTCCTTCATTCTTTAGCCTTCGAGCAAGCTTTCCTATATAATAAAAAAAATAGATGAAAAGAAAATTTAACTTCAACGTACTTTGTTTGAACATAGTTAGATACTAGAGGTCGATAAACTAAAAGTTGGATGAATCAGTATACTTAGGAATGCAAGGAGAAATTTATGTTTTAGTTTATGAGCTATTACTATCTTCAATGTGGAGTCTTACTTGGACACTCTGTTACATGTATTATCCGAAATTCCAAATCAATAACCCCTAAACTTTGTTCTGTTAGTTCTAAGGGATGGTGATGGGTGACATTTGAAACTAAGACCATTAACATCTACGAAACAGTAATAAATGGAGCGGATGGGGGCTGGCAAGTTCCTCCTCGGTCTTGGCTGGTATTCAGTGTGTCACACAGTCCATTCAACCATAGTCCAAATCATCAACATACTTAACCACAATTGAGGTTATGTGCCACGTCAATAACACATCAACCAAGACCATGAAGGGACACACCAGACTCTATTTACTCTCATATTTGATCGGGCGTGCTTAAAAATTGAAAGCTGCTACAAATGAAATGCATGGAAGTTTCCTAATTATTAGTAATCACTTAGTACCATTTTTGATAGAGAAATCTATCAACATTTGAAATAAAGTCAAGACTTTCCCTCTAGAGGATTTATAACAATAATTTGGAGAAAGCATTACCTAGGGAAGTAGTCTTTCCACCACCATTGACACCAACAACCATAATCACTGCCGGCTTCCTACCACAAAAAATCCCCAAAAATTCAGAAACAGAAAATTAGAAACGCAAACAACAAGAACCAAACAAAACCTTGCACCTAAATCCAAGCTGTAGCTCAGTCTTTTTCCCTTTGCTTGTCAACAAATCAAGAACACACTTCTTCAGCGCCTCCTTAATCTCAGCTCCAGATTTGAGCTTCCCCGCTAATATGTCATCTCTCAAACTATCCACAATCTTCATTGAAATCCTCGGCCCGAAATCAGAAACCAACAAAGCCTGAAAAAGATCAGAACTTTTATACAAAATAGGGTTTTGCATATTACCCCAGCTTTCCCACAATTTTGATGCTACGGAGTTCTTTATTGAAATTTTGTTACTCCAAATTTTCAAGTTGATGTTAGTTTAATAACTTGATACCTCAGAGACCTTACTTTGCTCCTCACTTTCCCCTAAAACTCCGTTGTATCAAACTTTGAGATATTAAAGTGCAAACAACCCCATACAACACAAGAAGGGAAAATTAAAAGGGGGTTCGTGCTAAAGATCAAAACTTTCACCTCCTCAAGCTCGTCGAGGACACGTTCGGAGTCGGAGAGGTTCCAGTAGAGGAGGAGCTCGTCAATGACGGCGAGGTTCTCTCGGGTTTTCGAAAATCCTGAGAATACTTTCTCGACGTCGCTCTTTGCTTTCTCTTTGATTAGGCGGCCGAGCTTTGTGAAGAAGCCGGTCT